ACGGGAAGGAGGGACATGCTGAGCTAGCTGTCCAGGATACAGCCTTGCTTTTGCAACTCTGTTTCCTCCAAGCCCCCACCCCCCCTTCCTCCTAGGGGCTAAGGGTGGGCAACCGGACACACGCTTCTGGAGCCAACTGGGTCTCTGGGGTTCCCACTGACCTATCCAGGCCAGGGGAAGGGGAAGTGGCAAAGGACTAGAACTGGAGTCTCCAGCCACCCCAACACTGCCCCTGCGTCCAGGCTCCCTCACTCTCAGGCAGGTCAGGAGGCTGGGATGGGCAGCCTTGGGGGCTGTCCTCAAGGGCCTATTTCTGGCGTGGAGGGAGCCTTGGTGACATCCCTCCTCTCCTCTTCAGAAACTGGAGTGTTTTAAGGTTTGTTGAGCCCCCTCCTGGGGTTCCTCTGTCTGCTCGTTGGGAAGCCCTGATGTAGGGGAGCAGATGTGGGGGAAGAGCACCAGACAAGTCAGACAGGTTCTGTCAACATCTCTGAACCCCAGGCTCCTCAGCTTTCAAATGGAAATAAATATGCCCTTTGAGATCACAAGACCACCTCAGCTGGGGTCCAGGCTGAGGGACCAAGGATGAGCATGTCTGGGAGCTCAGTATGAGTGGCCACAAGGGACTGAGAGGAGGGATGCGGAATGGACCTTATTAGTCTGACCAGAGTGGCCTCGTAGCGGGTCAGACCGCTCATCCAGGCTGGCCAGAGCAGGCAGGCAGGGAAGTGGATGGAACTTCTGCTCTGTCTTGGGGCCTGAGGGGGCGTAGATCCCAGTGAGGGGCCCTACGGCTTCGATGACCACATTCTCTGTAGCATAACTCAGGACCAACCGTCGGACGAGTCTGGGCATGTGAGCCCTTCCCAGAGTTCTAGGAAGAGACTGCCAGGGACTGCCAGTGCAGGACCAAGGCAATAGGGGCCATTGCAGGTGCTGGGCGGTCGCGCAGAGAGGTTGGCGGTGAGAAGGAATGACTGCTCTCTACTCTTTCCTCTAGGCACCCCTCGCCCAACTCGCCGAAGAACCCGCCTCTTTCCTTCCCACACCGGACCCCACCTGCCCTGGTAGTCGTGTGGGTTAGGGGGACCAGACTGCCAGCATCGCCCACTGCGCAAGTGGGGCCCGGAGACCTGAGCCCGCCTCCACCCCTCGATTGGGCGCTCATTTAAATGCCCGGCCCCGCCCCGAGCTCAGGGCGCATATATATAGGCGGCTCCGCGGGCGGCGGGCAGCATTCTGGCGCGGAGCAGAGCGGCGGCGGGCGCAGCTAGCGGGTCGGGCGCGGAGCGGGGGTGCAGCTCGGTTTC